CAAAATATTTATGCTTCTCATTTGAACCTTTCCTATGTACTTAATTGTAGCAAATGGTTGATGAATATGGTATGGATTCTTTGATAGGTTGATCGTGTTTATATGAGAACACCGGGTAACATAGCCATCATAGACCATGATAAGAAGAGGACAATTGTCATCCGTAACGAAGGCCTCCCGGATGCGGGTATTCTTCAAAATTCAATTTTCTATATTTTCTTATCACGATCTTCAGTTCTTCAACTTCAAGACTCTTGTCAAATTACAAATTTGTGTTCATGTCAAATTGCATACTTTTTGTTATCTTTGATGTCAAGATTCATATATCAAAAATAGATTTGTGTTCTCTTGCTATAAGATTCATGTCAAAATTGCACTTTTTTGTTTTACTTCAAGATTCATGTGAAAACAAAGGTGTGAGTATCTTATCTTCAAGATTCTTGTCATTACAACAGAATCTGCTTTATAGGATGCCAAATATGTCTAAATGTCTTAATAGACTGCTTTGTAGCACTTAAATTTATAGGATCAAACAATTGTATGTCCTATGTAAAGGTGTTACAATAGGTTGATAGGACGTTTTCGGGCATTCTAACAAGTTTTTTAGAACACTTTTGAAATAAGACGTTTTGCTAGTCTTTTTCATATGACATTAATTGAAAAAATGCCTTATAAAAAAACATGTGTCCTATAGAAATATATGTTTACGGAACAGTGGTCTATAAAAAAGTCAACATTACGCTTTATTTCAGAAGTGTCCTAAAAACTTATTTATAACATTCCATTGTAACACCTATATAGAACGCACAATTGTTTGGTCCTGTAAAGCAGTCTATTAGAACATTTAGAGTATATTTATTAGCAGCTTGATGAGTTTAATGGAACTCGCAGCTTATTCCGTCAGCTATACATAATTGTTCTGAAGTGGCTTAATGACATTGAAAGTGGCTTATCTAGGAAACTTCTAGGGGGAGCTTTATGCAGAAAGTCAAGTTTTTTTCAAACCTGTCCTTCCCAATTAAAGAACTTGTTTATTCCATCTATGAGAAAACCCTTCAAAACGAAACAAAAACCTTCCCAATCCGTACAGACAGATTAATCCACTCAGACAGCTTTATTCATACAAGACTTAATGGAAAACCAACCGAACAGTCGGTCAGTCCCTTAGACATATTTAGCGCCCTATAATGTTGATGTTATAGTGTATCAAATCTATGGATTTGTATTTTTAAACTGAAAGATTCATATTCAAAAGTGAAATAAGATGTTCTTTAATGAACTTATGGATTGATGTCGAAATGCAGTTTTGTGGACTCCTTGGGACAACGCAGCAAAGGCGGCAGCTTCGGGGTTTTGTGACAAGGATTACAAGATGATGTTGTCAGTGGATTCTGGCGTTCTTGAGAAACTGATCATTCTAAAACCATCGGAAGAGTGGAAAGGGTATCAAGAGCTTTCGATCATCTCTTCTAGCTATTGTAGTGGCCAATTGGATCCCAAAATGGTAGCTTTCTATGCCAAACCGTAAGCAGGCGTCAGGTACCGTTTACGCCTTTGATTCCCGACGTTCATCGTGTTTGAGAAGTCAAAAAGTCAACTTTTGGTTTGTATATTTTCAGGGTTGATGCAAAGCTCAGGCTTTCAAATTATGCAACAAGTTTATTTTTTTAGTTTATTTGGTTTCTTCTGCATACTGTCTCTCTTCTGTTAGACTGTTTCTTTACCAAGTACATCTGCCTCATATTTTACAAAGTTCACACACACACACACACACACACATACGTAGGTGGAGGTTCAAACGAGAACACCTTCATTTTGTGAAAACACTTGTAATATGTGAATAATACACATGTGATGTAAAGTCGTACCAAAGGATGTTTACGTCACTGATTTAGTATCACATGTGTATCATATCGCGAATACACTAATGTGAAAGCAACTGTAAAGATTACAATATCATATCGCGAATACACCAATGGATTACAGTATCATAACGCCGAGAAAGCAACTTGGTTCTTCTTTCATAGAAAACCTACATGCCAAATCACTCCGTGAAGATTTAACTTAACTGTAATCGTTATCGGTAATAATCATGTTATAAAGATAATAGAATACGGCATGCACCAATAATACAGACAAAAGTCGAGGAACGAAAAAAAATCCACTCGGACCAAAAGCTCACCCAGTAAGCATTTATTAGCAAAGAGTCACCGCTTTTACTAATCTTATTGAGAAATATTCTCAGCCAATAAAATAGATTGGTAGTAAGCGTTTATCACCCAATAAACGCTTACATGTTAAGACTATTGATCAATACATTTCCTCGTACCAGGTAAAATTCTCGATCTTTCTTATACTCACCTGGTTGGTAATTGACATAATACACGTTTATCCAGTAAGTGTTCTAGTAAAATATTATTTTTACCATGGGTAAAGGTTTGAATGGTGAATGGTGAATGGTGAATGATAGATTGGGGATGAAAGTTGAAAAGGAAAGAGAAAAAGAGGGGGTGAAAGTGTAAAAAAGAAAAGAAGGGGAAAGAAAAGAGGAGAGGTCGCTTTCATGTAGATCTGGTGTCGTTTGTTATCTGCAAGTAAACATTCTGGGTTTAATCATGCGCCACGTGTGGGATGTGTATGAAGAGGGGACAATCATGACCGTCCACCACACATAACATACCATGGTTTTATGGACTACAATATACTGGATCGTAGGCGTCAACAGTTGTCGGCCACTCGTGCTCATGCGGGCTGGCTTGGGTTGGCTTATGTAAACGTACTTCTGTTCATCCATTGACATTTTGACCTTAATTTGTATTTGTTTTTGTTTTTGTTTTTAAATGAATATAATTAAACTAAATAGAAAAAGAAAAAGAAAAAGAAAATTAAGAAATACGGCGGCAGAAGGAAATAGAGAATGATGATGTTTAATGGGCAGAGAAAGAGGCGGCGCCCGATGTTATGTTATTCATATTACCAGACATCATCATTCCCCCTTTCTCATTCCCTATCCCTCCCATCAACTCTTCTTTTGTTTTTTCTCATTCTTATACCCTAATTTCTTTTAATTAATTATTAATTATTTTAATAATATAATTTATATTTTATATATATATATACTATATTATAAAGCATTTAACAAAAATTCTTAAAAACTCTTAAACCCGTTCATTCCTATCCGATTTCATCCCATATCTGAATTCGTGTAACTAACTGCAGATAAACACAATCAAATACAGGATAAACATCTCATTTTAAATATAAAAAATCT